GCAAGACCATCGGCCATGACACGTGCAAACTTATTAGGATATGTCTCGGCCCAGGATGTCAGATTTCTACCTTTGTAGTTTCCTTCTAGATGATCATGACCATGGTTATGATCGCACCGAAATGGGACAAGGTGCTGCATCAAAGACTCCTGAGTGCTGACAATCCGAGTTGGCTTCAAGACAGGGATGTTGGATTTGGGGCTACGGAGCCCGAGTGCACATTGGTCAATTCGGATTGACCAGGCTGGTCCAAGCACTAACTCCTGCCACATATCGGACGAGTACGGATTCTCAGCATGTGCATGACCTCCAAGGATGGTTTGGAGATGCCATGTTTCCGAAACACATTGCAGATGTCTTCTAGCTTGATGTCTCTTTTTCAATACTTCTTGTTTCCTAGACTCGGAAAATGCCATATTGAACCTCGACCAGGGACCCCAGCACTTACATGGGGGAGCAAACCAAATGTGATTAGGCTTTGTCATGGCTACCAGGTATAGGAGATTTCGTCTATCCTTCAACCTACCAAGATCATGTCCATAATCTATCCCAATTTGGATTGCTGTTTTCTGGTTTCTCTTTTCGAACTGTTTGGACAAATTGGCTGTTCCTGTGAAAACTTCTATGAGTCCAACCTTGGAGTCAAGTTTACTAGCCTGGTTGCCCAACCAGTGGCGAAGTTCTGAAAGCACTTCCTGCCGATTGCTCTGCAGTCGCGACAAAGCCATGCGTACACCGACACGGCGTGCCGCTGTGATTGCGTCTCTCAGTTTCGTTTGGGTTTCTTTTGGAACATCCTGCAAGTCAAGATCTACCCAGTCAACCTCTTCATACAAAGTTTCGAGGGTGTTTGATTGCATGGTGTATTCCCAATCCCCTTCTATGTCATCATTACAACAACAATCACATTGGTGCGCTGATGGCGTCGGCTCTGCTGGTTCGACACGATCGGACTCACTGCCGGCACTCTCAGGTTCAGAGGGTGCTTGCTCGGATCGAAATGCAAAGATCGCAACCTGCATTGGGTTGACAGGTCTTCTGACCCGTCCGGCTGGACGAACGATCCATCCTGACATGTGCATGTTTCCATCTTTATCCATAGAGACTATCTTCATATCAAGTGAAGTTCGTTCGGCTTCGGCAGGAATCCTTTCTAGTCTAGGTTTATATGCTACATAGGCATGCACCACCTGGTATTCGAGACATGAAAACAACTGGGACAGTTCGGCACGAAAAACACTGCAATCGACGTTTCCTCGTTTGGTATGTTTACAAACAGTTTGAAACGCCCTCCGAGTATCACACGGGGTTGGCTCCATTTTTGGTGCACTTAAAACACTGTTTTTGTTCGCGTCCTGTCCTTTGAGGTCTTGGTGGTGCTCGAGATCAACGGAGATGGACTGGCGGTCCATCGCTTGGGCTTCATGCGGATTGGGCTCATTTGTATTCGAGTCGTTGAGGACTGTCTCCCACTCAGCAACCTGTGGCACCAGAGACAACAGCAGATGGCCATTTGCGGCCTGTTTCAGGGGTACATCTTGCATACCATGTTTTGGACTCGTGATGGTCATTCGGCCCAAGTCCAGTGTGGCCTGCATACCCTCCAACACCCTTCGTGACAGCAGGAATGGCGCGCTTCCAGGAACAACATATGTCGTGATATTCCCTTTCAACGAACCCAGCTGTACTGTCCACTTCAAACCAACAGCTGTTGTTTCGCTCTGACCATTGAAGCCACGAAGCTCAACTGTAGGCATTGTGACACGCACGGGTGGAGGAAAATTGCATTGTCTGAAAACCTGCTCATATCTCTGTGCTGTTTCCTCGCCAACAACGGATGTTGTACAACCAGTATCAATGATTGCAAAACCCGATGGAATTGAGGCCAGGAGAATTTCCAGTTCAGCAGCGGTGGACTCGGTCAGGGCATAGTTGAACTCGGTCAATGTCCTGTCAACAATTTCCACAGCTTCTGTCAGGTTGGCGTCCTCACGCCTCGGTGGTTTCTTCTTTGGGTCCTTTTGTGGCGACTTCTTGTCAAAGGACCTTTTCTCATAGCGTGGTGTTTTGGACGATGCAGCCTGAGTTCCCAGTGGAGCCTGGGACTGGCCGCCTTCGGTGGGTGGAATGGCCACCACCGGCATGTATGGTTGTCGTGCTCTTTTGATTTCCCTCACCTTCTTCTTTGACTCCTTGTAGGTGCGAAACTGTTTCTTGAATTCTTTCTTTGCTTTCTTCTGAATCTCATAGATCTCCTGCAGCTCTTCCTCAGAACCTGAACCCAGAGATGTTTCGCCACCCTCAACTTGGTAGGCCTCTTCACCAGACCCGGAGTCAGAAAGTGGGTCTATGGAGGTGGATGAAGCTTCAGCAACTTGTTCAACAGCATAGGCTTCGCGTCGTGGTCTCACCTGTCGACGATCGTCCAGCCGTGGTCGCCGGTCATCCAATCTCTCCTCATAGTCACTAGCACGCAAAATCTTCTCAATGTCAACAAATCGACTGGAGCCGCCTGTTGAACGAATGATGTGGCTGCGTTGCTCACGCGACAAACCAAACTTTCTCATGAACAAGTGTCCCAAAACTGACTGTGGAAAAATCGGTTTTGGCTTTGTATGCGACTGCTCCAACGTTCCAAGAAGACGTTGCATACGGAGATGATCTTTTCGCTGGTCACCTTTCTGAGTCCCAGTGGACTTCCCCTGTGAAGCCTTTGAGCTCGACTTCGCACTTCGGACCGATGGAGTGGATCCGGTCCGACGATGAGGATCAAGGGGAGGATCAAAAGGACCTGGAGGAGGTGCTGCTCTGGCCTTGGCTTCTGGCCGGACTTCATCTTCAACTTCTTGTTCAGTTTCATCTGTTTGTTCATTGGGATCGTCTGGAGGTAGGGCATGTTCGTCCGACTCTTCCAAACTACTCGAATCTTCCTTTTTCTTTTCTTCTTCGACTGCGGACTTCGGTTGCTTCTTGGACAGCTGACGCTCCTGTGAGATGAGCGTTTCCAGGCGATGCAGACTTGTCTTGAACCGGGAGGTGAAGGAAGTGGCTCCCTCATGTCCCTTCCGCTTCAACCCAAAAAGGAACTCATCTATGGCCTCGTGGAGCTCGGTCTCGGGCAAATAACGATAGTGCTGATCAAGCGTCCGAACAATTTGCAGCCAGCCTTGTTCACATCGAAGGTCAGCAATTGGAATGTTTTCGGTCGCTTTCCAAGCTTCGCCAGACAATCTTCCGAGGACTCGAGGACCGGCCAGGTGTTGTTGCTTGTCCTCAAGGGATGCAACACCAAGGATCAGCTTGCGTCTGAACTCACGATATCCGCTTGGCTTCCCATCGAAGTAGAGGTCTTTGAGAGTGTCTTTGTAGTCCATGGCTCAAACTGCCAACAACAAACAACAATGTTCCACAACCAACAATCAATGTCAATGCTCAACCATCAACGTCAACTCAACTTTGCACCACTGCACAAGCAATGTACCTAGATGGCACGAGCTGCTCTGCGGTTTGCACCGCACCCGGGATCAGGCCGGGACCTCACAAAGCAATCCTGGAGCTTGGCAGCTCCGCTACCATGTAAAATGGTGAGCGGAGGATCAACAGCAACTTGTAAAGGCAACTGTCACAACTCAACCAACGGGGATCAAAGAACTCCGTCACGATCAAAAGCAAGCGGTGCGCTCACTTTTCCATTGCGCAACCGTCGGGGGCTCGAATGAGCCAGACTCAAGGGCCCTTGTGCCAAAATGGTCACATGAGAGGGCCGCCATCTCATATCATGATATGCATGTTCCAATGCATACAAATTCACATATATATATATAACCGAAGCAACCTGAAAGCCACCCTATCATTATGCCAAGACGCACCTGTTTGCCTTCTCGCCAAACGTGAGACAACACATTGACAACTAGTGGACACATTGTGTTGGATTTTCTTGGAGCGACCGGGCTTGAGAGCGTCAGTCGTGCAGTGTAAGTCATGCAGGAGTGACCGCTGATAAGTGACAGGATTAAAAGCACCAAAGAATGGGAGAAATGAGGCCAAAAGGTTTTCCATAAGTGACCCAAAATGATTACATTTCAATTAAAATCTTGAGGATTGTTGAGGTCATGATTGCGCCAAGCGGTCACATGCATGCGACCAAGTATAGACTCGCCTGGGTTTGCTTCCGGAACTCGTCCAGCTTCGTGTGGCTTTGGCAAAGAATAAACATGAGCCGTGCCAGGGACATGGACCGACCTCCAAAAACATGACAAGAGAGAAACTGAAGGACAAAACAAATGTCTCAAATGACTTTTGGCTTTGCCACAGACCAGTGGTGTCAGGGAAGGGTCCAACCTCTTCTGACGAGTGGTGTCCACTAACTCTTGATGCCATAGGCAACCACGTGCGACAACTCACAACCGGCAGACGGCGTGCCTGAGGGGAAAAATGGTTTCTTGCCAGCCCATGGCGCAGATGTGTGCTTTAAAGACACAGCCTAGTAAGCTTTGGCTTGGGAACCAACTACAGTAGATTGAACATGAACATACATGAACCAATTCAAATCTAAGTGTTTTGCCAGCGACTTGCAGCGGCTCCGTGCAAGAGCTTCCAAGGGTTTGCTTGGCCTCAATCTTAACTAATTGTTATGTACAGTTACTGTCTTTATTATATACCAGAGCCCCATAAGGGGTGTTTGTTTACAGCCCCAGTTGAGGTTAAAACGCCACCCCAACTGTGGGTCCTGGTATTGTTCTGGTTTGTTGCTTCCTTTACATGGGCGAGGTGAGCACTCGGGACGTTCACGCCATAGCTGGGCCTCAAAATGGCCGTGTGAGTGGGCGACCAATCAATCCGGACCATAAATAAAATAAACGGATCAAGACAGGCAGAAAGTAGAGATCCAGCTGGTTCAGGGACACCCACTTGTGCCTCAAAATCATTCACACCAGACTCTCCTCCCTTCACATCTCTTCAGGACTTCAGGAGATCCCTCCCGTCTCCTTGGGTCTCAGGATTGGCTTGGGGCCCTTGATCCCCTTCGCGTGGGGCTCCTGGTTTGGCTACACCCTGTCCTCGATCTCCTTCCTCCGGGCGGAGTTTGCCACTGCGAGGGAGTATGTGCGAGACTATCCCAGGTCGATGGTTTCCGACCAACTCTGACTCTTCGGACGAGTGAGCTGACGGTAGCACCAGCTGTGCGGCTGAGATGTCTTGCCTCAATGTGACTATACCTATTACAATATATATATATATATATATGTATATATGTAGAGTAGGGTATCCATGAACCACCCCTTAGGGGGCCCTGGTATGTGAATCATTACCGATACCGTGGCCGTGGCCATTGAATGCCTTTGAGTGAGTGGGCTTGAATCAGGTGAGTTGGCTGTCGACGTTCCCTGGAGGTTGCTGGAGTACGTGCTCCGCACTGAATTCAGCTGGGCTCAGCTTCCGCAGGAGAGCTCGGGAGAGTTGCAGAAGTGAGCTCTTGAACTTTGCAAGCCTAGTGAGGCCAGGAGCTACGTTCGTAGTGTCCTTGCTCCTAGTAGGGATGCCCTTTGCTACTAGTAGCGTCCTCGTTACTAGTTTCACGGCACCAATCCAGCCCAAGTTGGATGTCTTTGACAATGGAGACCTATTCTAGCATGTTCTAGCCACTGGATCTGGCACATTGTGTGTGGTCCAAAAAAAACACGAAGTGCCGGGCTTAGCTGCCCCAATGCTTTTCATCCTGTTCCGGGCCAATATTGCAGCTTTCAAAGTGTTTCTGAGGAGATCTCGGTGGACCAGTGGGCGGAAGGATCATTGCCGCGGCTGAGTTGGTGCGTTTTGGCCTCCCAAAGTTGTCAGGTCCGGGCCGGAGGGGAGAACATCGGCGGATATATGGCGGATGTGGAAGAAACCGTGGACAAGGTCGCCACCAAGAGCGATCCGGGAGCAGCGATGGGGATGAAATCGCGTGTCCAAGTTGCGGCGCACAGCATTCAGTTGGAGGAACACATTTGAGATCAGATTTGGCAGGTTTATAGACCAAAGTGACCAAGAACAGTGACGTCTTTCACCGCTGTTATTGACATGCTGACATGCTTGGCAAGGCCAACTGTTTGTGGCACTTTCTCCTGAGAGCCAGAAGGTCCGTATTTGACTTCCATTTTGGGCAAGACCAGCTCATCATTGGCCTGAAGGTTGTAGCGAACCGACGTAATCAGCCATGCTTCATGTGGCATCTCTTGATCTCCACTTTTCGCACTCCAAACGATGCGCGGGTTGAGCTTCATGGCAACCGGTCCTCGACTCCATCCAGGCCTTGATCCAAGAACAACAAGAACAGAAGCGACGGGAACCTGGGATCGATACAGAGGTTTGTAAGACACTGAAGACGAACGACGCGTATCTCACCGCGGGTTTGTAAACCATCTCTAAGGGTGCCATTTCTTGGGGTCCATGTGCGTTTTGTTGGACGTGTATCTCGTGTCTTAGGGGGTCATGTGATGTGCTGGGCTCACTTTGGATTGGCTTGCAGAAAGGTGTGAGCGCCCAAGGGGAAGCACTTGACAGAATGCACTTCAATAGCAACCAGCTTTTTGGATTTTTATGGATTTTTTCCCTGGTCCAAACCGTTTCTTTTTGTTGCGAATTGGAGCCCACTCTAATCTCCAGGCTGGGTACGTTTTGTGTGTTGCTTCAAACCCTTGAAAAGCAGCTCACCATGTGCGGTTCCAATTCTTCCGTGGTTTAGAATATGTTTGCTGTTTGCCTCGTATCGTGCAAGACCCAACTTAAACCATATATATATATAGTTTTATATAGTATTGCAAATTGCAAATTGCAAATTAGTGTCAAGCACTATTGTCAAGTCATGTGCCTTTTTTTGACTGTGAAGCAATTCTTGGGGGCTGCCCCTCCCTGCAGCACTATATATTATTTATAATATGCAACATGTTTAATCCAGGCCCTTTCAATCTAATTATCATCCACTGGTTGGGACACAGCCCAAGGAGTATCCACATTCCCTTTGGTATCCATACTCTCATTTGTCAAAAGGAGTATCCTGGAACAGCCAGTCTCCTCCCCACTTCCTGGTTGATGTATGTTGATTTGATGCAATTCTTTTGCTGAGGAGTTGCTCGAGCTGGAATGAGATGGGAGAAGGTTGCCTGAAAGTTGCTACACCAGGTGCATGCCACCCCTGATGCCCCAAGTGCGTGTCATACGTCGGATTCATAGAGTCTGCAAATATAGGCCAATGGATACCGATAACTGTCAGTATAACCACCTTTGAACTTCCTGGAAACATAAGATCCATGATCCATGCATCCTTGCAAGATTTATTTAGCACACGCGGATGCGTAGTGGCTAGACAGTATTGGGAAATCACTCCCTAGTTGGGAATGCTTGCCATCCCGATCACCTTTCAAGCACATGAACCTTGTTTTGCCTCCATGTGACACAGCTTTTGGCGCTGGTTGAACTTTTAGAGCGATGAGCCATGTCTCGCACGGACTTCGGCGAATGCCTCCCAGAGGGGCCAAAGTAGATGTCGCCTGACATGGAGGGTGAAAAGAGGCTCGACTCTTCGACGGCCTGACATGCCATGTTTTGCCGTAGACTCTCGTGAGGCGTGCACTCCCTTGCAAGAAAGCTAGGGGGGGGCAGTCCTAGGTCTTAATTTGAGCCTTAACCACGATCAGGCAAATTCAATGCAGATGTCTCTCAAGCACCAACATGGAGGTTGGGCATGACAAGTACCTTCCTGCCCTTCCTGTTCTCTCCCCCTTCACTGGCTGGCTTGTACCACAGTGTCCCCAGGAGTCGATGTGTGGTCGACGCATGTCAGTTCTCAAGCAACTCCCAGACACTCCATGTATGCCACCTATGCTTACATTGGGGTGGTTTGGGGGGGTCAATGTAGGCATATATGGCATACATCGGTTGACCTGATAAACAATGGAGAGCCGGAGACTATAGACGATGGGGCTGAATCCACTCTAGACGAGGGTGTTCTGCCGCAGGAGCGGTTGCTCGAACGCTCTGAGGAGGAGTAGCGGCGCTGAAGCCACACATGACGCGCTGGGCGCGGTTGACTCGAGGCGGTGTCCGGCCAGGCAACGAGCGGGCAAAACGCTGTGAGTGTCGGCGCCCCGCGTTTCGTGGGAGCAAGACGCAGGTGTTTCCAACTGATCAATGAAGTTCCTCATCCCCAGATCGGAAGACTGGCGGGACTGACGGTTCCAAGTGGACTGGTGTGTTCTGGTGTCCTGGGCATCCGAGACAAGCAGACCTGATGTAAGGGGCCCAAATGCTATTTTCTCCACAGTCATAGACTTTTATATACCCACCTGTGAAATTGAATTAACCCCCCGAGTTTGTGTTTGCGTGTCCTCCTTTTTGTTGCGTGGTCCATTGGTGGTTCAATTGCTTGGCCACACGGAAGTCATTGAACAATGTAAACTCTGACTAGACTCTTTTTGAGCCTCTTTCAAACAGCTCCACCCAGCGTCACCCGTACTGCATTGGATGCCTTGCGCTGTTTCGGCTCTGACCTCCAGCAAGGGATTCAGCGCAGCGACCAGGTCTGGGTGGGTGCGGGGGAAGAAGGTGTGACTTCCCGGGCTGGTGGATCCCAGCGTTTCGATGTTGTTGTAGATCATGTTAGATCCATGCGACTTCTCAGGCAACCAGCGAATTCCCAAATCGGATTGCATTTCTAAAAAGCACATGTGAGGTCAACAAAAGAGGCCAACAAAAACAATATTGGCTTTTAGTGTGCGTGCTTTTGCCATGTTTTGCCGGGCGCTTGTTTGTGCAGGCATACCTGTTTGTTACAACAGCAGGAGAGGTTTGATGTGAACACTGTCCATGACTAAGACTGGCTCAAGCTGCCCAAAGATGGCACTCGCCGAACGGATTTCAGAGTGGGTCCGGAAGCATCATTTTGAAGCTTGGGAGGCGCCAAGCAATGTGTCTTTTTACTTTTTGCTGCTTGAAATCCCACCTGAATCAGCTTGCAGTCTCTACGGGGTCCCCGGTGCTTTTTCTTTGGAAAAGGCCCATGGATGCCATGTTTTCTCACCCTCCCAGGAACGCGTCGCGTTGCAATTCCCGGACGCCCTCCTTGGCGAAGCACCCGAGATCCTCGAGCAGGTGTGCGAGAAACTGAAGGATCGTAGGGTCTTCATCCTGGGTGACTCCTCCTTCGGTGGAGGGGGCGTTGATGAAGTCGGTGCGCGCCATTACGGCGCGGACTGCATCGTTCGCTTCGGGCACGCGGAACAGCAAAGAGGTGGTGACTTGCCGGTACTCTTCGTCTTTGATGAGCAGATCGCTGCTGACTGTGTAGAGGATGCCGAGGAAATTGTGAAGAGAGTTCATGGCTTGTTCGCGAAGCGTGCTCGCGTAGAAGGCGATGACATGGATGCGCACCTCTTGGTACTTTGTGACTTGCCCCAGCAGTACATGGCAGAACCACTGGGCCAAGCTCTGGTGGAAAGCTTTGGCAAGTTTTTTGTCTTCTCACCCCAGTGAGGCTCGATGGCAGGTACTGGTGGCAACTCCACATCAAGAGGCTTTCTCGGGTGACATTCCGACTGGATGGCGTGATTGGCGCTTTGGCGCATTGCAGCTCGGGCAAGCTTGGTGGTCTACGCTTGGAACCTTGACTTTGGCAGGCCGCACCAGTCAACTGTATAATATAGATTGATATAGATGGATCATGTTGCAGTGACTTGAGCGCACTCACTGACATTATGGCTAGCAAGAGTGTTATCAAGGTGTTTCAAGCCAAGAACTGCCTGACACTGGAAATGCGACATATCAAACTGGTCAATATCAACTCTAAAACTTTGCTTTGACAGGAGCTGCCCGGCCTCCAAGACTCAAGGTTTGTGGCCGCGATGTCTATGCCTTGGGCTCGGGCGCCGACACACAACCTTCTATGGGCCGCACGTTACCACCCAACAGCGCTGTGCTCTATGTTGGCCCTAAGGGCTCCAGTCTAGAGCGTTGCGCACTTTTGCGCTATGGCGCCTCGTGCCCCGTTTGGAGTCTAGAGAGATTGGAGGCGGAGAGCCCCCACGTGGGCGCAAGATTGGAGCGAATCTTTAGTCATGCGTTGCTTCAGAAGAGGTATCGCTTTGTTGAGTTGGCCAAGGCTGCTGGCACCATTGGGCTTTTGATGGTTTCCGCCGGTGGCCCTACAACCTTGGGAAAGGCCCTGGCAGAGAGGCTGGAGGCCTTGCTGTCCAAGGCCAACCGCCAGTCCTACCGGCTGGTCGTTGGGCAACCCACCCAAGAGAAGCTGGGCAACTTTCCAGAGATTGAGTGCTATGTGTTGCTCTCCGGGCCTGAGCAGTTTATGTGGGATCTCCGTGATTTCATGGTGCCCATTTGCACCCCCTTCGAGTTGGAAGTAGCTCTAGGTGCGCGTGAGTGGACCGGGGAGTATTTGACCGATCTTCAGGAACTTCTAGACACAGCTCCTATGACTGAGGTGCTCCCAAACACCGTCTCTGAAGATGCCACGCTGGTGCAGTCCTTAGGCACCAAGATCCGTTCCTTCGAATCCAACGGCCCTTTGCTCCGTCCGAAGAGCACGGTGACAGAGACCTCTACGGTGACAGAGATGAAAGCTCCAGCGAGCATCACACCTGGACTTTATGGTGTGCCGTGGAAGTATAGCCAGGAAGGCTTAAGTCGAAGCGAAGTGGACAACTAGGCGACGCCAGGGACAGACGGGGCGCGAGAGGACGAGTGGGGCGGCTGGTGGCTCACGCACGACGTGCCCGGGTGCAAAAAAGAAAAGAGCGACAGTGATCTGGGACATCTACACTCAGAAAAGACACGCAACTGCAGTAACTGCACCAGAGGTGTCCTCCTGGTTCTTGTTCAAGATATATACTTGCTTGGGGCGGGCGCTCGAAGGTCCCCGACTGGGGCCATGCTTTGCGGTGCTCTCGCGGATCGGGACCGGAAGGAGCCAAGGAAGAGGCAAACGATATCAAGCCATCACTAGGGTGCTAGAACTTGCAGTGATGAAGTGGACCATTTCCTTCATCCCCACTGTAAGAACGCCCTCCATGAAAACAGGTGTAGCTGGGTAATTTCTACAACCCTAAGAATCCGGGCCCTCAAACAGATAGGGTTTTGAGGCCCCGGACCCCTGCCATGGAGGGTCCGACCCCTGCCATGGACAGCCCAAGGATTCTTAGGGAAGTACCATTTACGTTAACGCCCAAAACGGTGGACCCGTGTGGTTGACCGAGTGCCCCACGGTGGACTCGTGCGACTCCTGCCATACTTTGCCTCCAATTTTGCTCCAAATGAGAGTCTGGTTTCTGGTTTTACTATAGGAACAAGTGCATCGCCACGAGTAACAAGTGCCTAGTAAGGCAGTAACAAGAAGCCAGTAGAAACAAAAGCATCTCCGAACATGTCTTCAACCGCATGTCTAAAGACTCCCATAAGATCGACCGATCATTTGAGTGTATTCTGAACGGCAGTTGGATGCGAATTTGTGGAGTCTCATGTGAGATGTAGTAGTTTGACAGCACCTTTACAAATGACATCCGGATCCGAATATCCTTTGTCTGAGGTGCAGGATTACCTACTCAAATCCTGAAACAGGCTTGAACAGGTTTTTTTGACCTGGGGAGATAGCAGGGGGAGATACTGAACCAGCCATCCACCGGATTCTTTCTTCCAATGCAACTGGGTTTGACCGAAATCGGTCCTTGTTGCACTCACATTGGAAATCCCGTGCGTGTTGTAAACCATTCTTTTTCCTGTACACACACCCAGTTCGTCCCAGTTCCCATGCAATACTCAAGCACGAAAGCTGGTCGTTGCTTGGACACTTTCCTTGTGCAGTTTGACATGGCGAAGATTGAATTGGTATTGTATGCATGTGTTAGGACGAACACCCGCCGGAGAACAACTGCAGGCCTTGAAGTCGAGAAGAAGTCGAGTTGATTCTTGGAAGCAGCCAGTCTTGGAGGCCTCACACCTGATCATGTCGGGCCTTGATGTAACAATGCACCCTTCTTTAAAATCCTTGAAATAATCATGCAAGTGGATGATGTGGATGTCATGACCCCGAATGAATGACAATGTTCCTTCACCCGTGGATTTCCCGGAGTGTAACATTTGACTTTCCAACCACGGCTCTTTTGTCGCGAATCAGGGGCCTGCATCACTTTTTCAAGGGCTTTCCGAGGATTCACTATGCCCTTCGGGAGAAACCGAGAGCATAGTTCTCCTGTTCTCGCTTAAGTGATATAGGTTCAGTTGTGGAAGCTTCAAGGATCCAGAATGATCCAGATCCAGCTAGTCAGAAAAACTCCATACGGAGAGAAGCTTGGATCCACAGGTGCAGTTGTGGTGAAGAAGCCTGGATCCCGCGTTCCGCGATAGGTGAATTGTTTGATCCACGTTCCGGGATGAGGCCCCTAGTGGTGATCGACATGTCCGCGAGCGCCTATCCAGAAGGCCCTTTTCCGGGGAAGTGGAATGGAAAAGCCACGTCGCTTGGTCAGCATGCACTTCGATGGGCACACTAGTCCCAGCCAGAAGGATTAGCAAATGTTTCTTGGGGTGTTGTAGTCAGTATGTTTGGGGTTTGTGCTATTACCTGCAACAGTCAGTAAACAACATTAAACAACGTACTATATATATTATATATACTATTTTTGGACAAGGCCTTTATTAACCATCATCATCCACTGTTACAGATATAAATATAATAGGATAGACCCAAAGTATGTGATAGTCAGGTGAACTCGGCGGTGGTGATTGATCACATGTTGTTCCAACTCAACTGGCTAAGTGGTGCGCTCACTCTTTTCCACCGGCACTCACTGCACCGGTCTGGCGGCCGCGGCCGCTTCGGTGGGTGGTGCTCCAGTCCTGCTTCCGACCCTTATTATTGGGATTTTGATGACACATTGATGTTTGGAGCCCTGACAAGTGACATCAAACCTAAGTGGCCTAAGTACGACCTGAAAGCAAGGTATCCAAAGGTCACTTGGAAGAGGTGTTCTTTTCTCGACCGACCCGGGCAACTCGATTGCCACAGCTCCGCCAGGAGATCAGCCTGAGCCTCAGCATACATCGCCACCATAGAGAGCTTTGAACTTTGCAGGCTGTTTATTGTGCCCTGTGCCCGTGTCTCCCACAGGGTCAGTGTCCCACACCAGGCCAAATGTTCCAGATGGATGCAGTGAGCTCACAGGGAGATCATATCACATCACGATGCATTCATACCCTTGAAAAGGCTTTTTTGATTGGACACCTCCAACCGGTAGCAAGGGCATTTGTACGTAGTAACCAGAAGCTACTCTAGTAGCTCCTGGCATTGGTAGCCAATTGGCTAGTAACAAGGGCATCGCATCGCGCCGCTTGGTCGCTTCCATCTTCTAGCGACCGAGGCGACCGTTTCTCACCGAGCCAGTAGCGAGGAGCCTGTCTCCCCCAAGGGCGGGGACGGGGGACGCAGGTGGACGCAGGTGGACGCAGGTCTCAGACGTGGAAAGGGTAGGGTCAAATGAAGACACCAAGGAAAGGGGGAGGAGGCGAATGAGATCAGAGAAGCGCATTTCGGTGTTTTTGTTCCATGGATTTTGTGGGGGGCAATTGCACTCACCGGAAGCATCATGGAAGTGAATTTTCACCTGTTTGTAGAGGAAAATGGTCATCCAGTTGGGACATGCCGTGCCACTTCCATGAGTATTTCCAAATATTTGTGGGAGTGTGTTGTTCAAGCATGTTCAATGGATTTTTTTGGCGGGGCTGTTGGCCCGTGGCCGCCGGGAGTTGATTTTGTAATTACAGAGTGCCGGAGTTGAATGCAAGCACAGCAGCAAGGAGTTCTGGATCGATCTGGATGGATTCCGTTTTCGATTTCATTGTTTTGCTCATCAGCTTGCCTGCCAAGTGCCGGGACACAGTTGACTTCAAGACAAAAAGGCTCCAGCAACACTGATCTAGACAACCTGGCGATAGCTGGCTGACTCTTCTCCTGGAAGTCCTGGTTTCGATCAAGCTTTGCATGTCTACATTTGGGTAGAACAACGTTGACTTCCTGCACATTTCCCAGTAGAAGAACAATGATTCGCAAGGGTTCCCCATGCATTTCCCTCAGGCATGTGAGCCAAACTGCTACAAATGATCACTTTTATAGTGGATTGAGAGTAGAGTGCACAATCCCCGAAAGGTGCCTTGTATGGACATGTATGGACCCCATCTAAACGCCATTTCGGGTTTTGTGCAATCTACCGTGAAACCACTGTAGTACTGTAGTAACTTATGCATACAGCATACCAGTTCCTCACCAGACCCAATTGAGCTACTGCTATTGCACATGGACCTGCTGCTGGGATACATTAGGTTCTGTTTCGGGAGATCACCAGTCCCGGCTGGAGGTGTCAGTCAGCCGCGAAGCCTCGCCGAAAGTCTTGCGGGATGCTCAGCCATCGAGCTGTACAATGTCCTCGCTTTGCTAAAGCAGCGAGGGACTGAACATGACTGAACCATATTGACCTGTGTGACACGTAGATGCCATTTTCATGTTCATTTTCTTACTAATCAGGGTTGTCGCATGTTGTCGACCAAAATCACTGCTGAAACTGGCTATATGTCTTGCTCTTTGGTGTTGAGATTCGCTGTAAGAATATGTTTCATCTAACTTTACTCAGGTCCGGCTATGGGGAGTCGCCATTCCGCTGGGGCGCCGAGAGCGCAGGGCGGATGAGTTTGTTCTTTTTCATGAGCGTCATGGTCTTCACATGGGTCTAGTAAGTGTGGTAGTCACCCAGTGCATGTCTTCACATTCTTTCGAACAACGAGTTGTGTTTTGTTTGTTTTTGGGTTCACTCACGAAAAGAATTGCTGCGCGCGCTTGCGTGAAGACAGGGAATCATGCGACATTCAATGTGACCGCCTACGCAGACATAGAAGTGCAACAGATCAATTGCTGTAGTGGTTCATAAGCAAAACCTAGACACTTCCCTACGTGGGGTTTATTTGAGGAGTCAACGTAGGCATAAATGGCGACCAGGCCATCTCCACAAGGGACATTTGTCACCGGAGCAAAGCAATTTGATGCGCACCGCCTAAGCTCATGTTTGGTATACCCCTCCCCTAGTCCCCCCCCGTAGATGGGAAGACTCCTTCTTGACCGTTCTCCTTAGAAACGAATCACCGAATCATCATGAAGCGGTCTTGTGTGTTCTTTCTTATCTAGTAAACATGTTTCCGGTTTTTGTTTGCTTTCTTCCAAAGGTTCCCCGTATACAGTTCCTCTTCATCCAGGCCCCAGCCGAAGGGTCCTGCGAAGCGCCGCACCGCAGGAATGGTATGGCCACTGTCGCGATGGGCCGAGTGGTTGGGTTTCGTTGGGACTGGAGAGACACATATGTTGTTGAGTCAATAAGCATATGGGGTCATGGTCCAAAACATGGATGTCCTGCTGCAGGACAGTGTCCATGTATGGCAGTCTTGTGAATGGTTCTATACTGGGTCCAGATGTGCTTGCTGCTTGAACTGCTTGAGATGCTGCACCACCACCTCGCAGGATTTCTCGTTTGGCGTTTGGATTGTCAATTGAAACCACCCGCCACCCAAGCACCCTTGCGGTGGGATAGACACGCAAGGTATCACCAGCCATGTCCGCGGAAATGGCCAATACTTGACTGCCTCAGACTGGTGAGAACCCTTTTGTAA